AGTCGACATTATCGGCAACGTCGACAATAAAAAATTGTCAACAAATATTTTTGTTGTCGAGTAGTCGTTTGATCTCATATGACCTAATGAAAGAGCCTGCAATAACGCAGTTTGACCAGTGAGACTGTAATTCAGCTCTCCCGGATGCAATTTAAGAGAAGAAGACAGCGCTTCAGCGCATTGAGCGCAAACGCAGCCGAACCTGAAGCTGCTGAGCGGCATTTGGATGAATATATAAATATATGTTGCGCGCTTTCTTCTAAATAAAGAAATAAACACAACAAAAACTGACAGAGGTGAGAAAGCAGCAGTTAAGAACGCATCTGATTACAGCGATGTGGATGTTGCACAAGCACTGCAGTTCAGTACTCCAGTAAAGTCCAACACGTCACATTTATTTATATAGTACTTTATGCAATAGATAGCCTTAAATCAAGCAGCTTTACACAATATTAAACATGAAAAACCAGAGTCAGTGTTGCTTTCAGTTAGAATTACAAACTGATTTTCTGTTATAAAGCAGCTCTCCAGTGTGGAGCTAGCTAATGATAAAATATTTTATTAGTGGGGAAAAAAATATTATTTAATTGAAGTGATAATTTAGTTTGTTGTTAGGCAGATTGATGTCATTCAGTTACTTTTTAGCTAATTTAGCTAATTAAATGGTGAATGAGATAGTTTCTCTGTCATCTCATTTTGTGTGCCAAATATATTTATTTGTATAAAATAATTGTATAATTGTAATAATTACATAATATGACTTTCAAAAGCTGAAGTGCTTACCTTTATTTTTTAGTTGTTATATAATTTATATATAGCTCTAATTAGCTAATTAAATGGTGAATGAGATAGTTTCTCTGTCATCTCATTTTGTGTGCCAAATATATTTATTTGTATAAAATAATTGTATAATTGTAATAATTACATAATATGACTTTCAAAAGCTGAAGTGCTTACCTTTATTTGTTAGAATATATATAGCTCAATATTGTAACTAACTGCAAAAGCTGAATAATCAATCAAAGTCTACTTATCAATCAGTGAAATAATCGACGATTAGTCGATTAATTGTTCTAATAATCGTTAGACTAATCGATTATCAAAATAATCATTTGTTGCAGCCCTACTTCCCTGGGAACGATATGAGGTGAGAGATATCGATGTCATAACACGAGCTTATGGAGCTTTGAGAATCAAATAACATGTTGGACCATGAAACCTCAGATCAGTGTGTTGAGTCGATCCTCCATTCATTGGCTTCAGAAGACTGCTGATATAATTCTCTAAGGGCTGCTCGGCAATATAGTTTTATATGATTTAATATTTTCCAGCCTTTTGATGATATTCTGCATCTTGATATTGCTGTATTTCCTCTGAAACTGCTGATTAAATGATTATTTATTTATTTATTTACTTAGTTACTTATTTATTTCAGCCTTCATTATAGTCAAACAGTCACTATTGCCAAATAGATTGAAAATTAAATGACTAATATCAGCAAAATTCTCTGAGAGTCACTTCATGAGAAGTACAAGCCGTTAAATTAAAAGTGCAATTTAACTTGAAGAAATTGTGACAGAAATATATTACTATTGTACAGTAGAATGCATGTCTTACTACTACTTCTACTAATAACATTATTATTAAAACTTTATTTTCTAGGAATAATAAAAAAAAAACACGTCATGGCTCTATTGTTGTAAAAAAAAAAAAAGTTGTTTTGATTATTAACATTTATTGAATAATTAAAAATTTTATTAAACTATTCAAATGGAATCCAGAAAATTTTAAGTGGAAAACACAGAATTTGGTGAAAAATAAAACAGAATTTGAGAAAAAAAATAAATGTATGTCATACAGTCACAGTGCCCTAAAAATTTGATTTTTTTGTTATACTTTTAATAAATTGCTGTTAATTTGTGTAAGTTGTATGATTTCAATCAATTAGACATGCTGTTTGGTTAATACATTTTAATTTAACCATTAAAACAGAGTCCAGAAAAAAAATGGAATCCAGAAAAATTAAAACTGGAAAAACTCAATTTGGAAAAAAATAAAACAATAGAGCCCTATAAATTCAATATAGATGTTGAATATCAATAAATCCAGCCAATACACTTATATAAGAAAATATAATAAATAGATAAATTATTTAAACATAATAAACAGTATAATAAATATTATATATTATCTATCTATCTGTCTGTCTGTCATTTTATATTTTTAGATAGACAGGTAGATAGATTCTATCCTGTATGTTATTGAAGATATCAAAAAAGTATGAGAACTATGCTTGTGAATTGCTGCTGGATTTTACTCTCCAAAAAAAAAAAAAAAAAAGTGGAATTTTCATTAAAAATTAAAGGA